TGTAAAGTGAAGAAACAAGTAACATTAATTCATATGGGAAAAAAAAAATGTTGAGCATTCCTATTCCTAAAATTAACAGATCACACCAAATAACACATACAGCCAAATACAAACTAATATATAGTAACAGCAGGAGTGATGATAAATACATAGCCTGTGTACAGTTAATTCTTGGGGAGAGCTTGGTTGGGCCACTCTTATTGCTGGAGATACAGCTGTCTCTAGAATAGCTGCTGCAAAACAGACACTGAGTAATATTTTTCTTTTTGCCTTTTGTTGCACAAGCAAGAATCCTCTTTGGATTTCTTTTGGTTATTGAAAACAGGTACTAATATAGATCTTTCATAAAAAGTGAAGTGTTGTTGTATCACAAACTTGTGCAAAGTGGGGGAATACCTGTAATACAATATCTCAAATATGTTTACTACCCAAGTATTTATTTTTGAGGAACTGGTGGGAAGTTATCTATAAAGCCCCTTTTATCCAAGCAGCAGGTGCTCAGTGGTAGAAATGATATAGCTGACTCTATGACATAATATAATTAGAGGAGAGGATACTGAATACATTTTGCTGATGGCAAAATGAATCAGGACAATACCAGGAATAAAATGAAGTATCTTAGAACACACATTTGTCTAAAAGTTACAGAAAATTTGTCAACATAAAAATATTTCATAAAAATAAAAATATTTCATGGGCAGTCAAAAATATTTCACTTCATTCAAAATATGGACAGTCTGGTAGAGGCTTAAAATATAATGTTTAAAGTTATGGTAAGGTGTTTCATTGATTTCACCGGTGTTATTGCATTTTTAGGCACTTTGGAGCAAAATTGTGGTAGCTTACTGTTAAACTTAAGCTTCGGGGAGCCCAGCCAGCACTAATGTTAGCAGTGATGGGTTCCCAGTGCCAGGACAATTAGGATGGGGTGCTGGGTTTCTGGCAGCCAAGAAGGCACAGATACAGGGAATGCCATTGGGTGGGGAAGTCTGAGCTTGCTTCTTAATGGGTCAAAAGCTCCATGGTGTTCAGGGCAGCCCCCAGTATATTAGGTATTTATCTCCACTATTGAAGACAGGACCTAGATATTATTTATATTTTTATTCTCAGGACATGCTGCAAAGTACATTCTAGATAAATTTGTTGGATGAATAAATCTAGTCTGTCCCCATCCAGATTTATTATCCCCATTATAATATTCCTGCTAAATATAATAGTGCTGTCCAGCAGAATGACCCATTTTATTTTTTGCCTATTTTCAAATCTTAATTATTTTGAGTCCTGAACTGATGGGCCACTGTTAATTTACATAGTTGTTTCAAAGCGAATGCTATATCCCGTATTTTGCATTTACCCAAGTTATTCACGGCTAACGTCTAAATTGGAGAAGTGAAAAGGACAATTGTTTAGTGCTTTTTAAAGTCCCTGACCAAGATCAGTAGGGAAATCCCATTAGCTCCATTCATCGCATTTCTCATAAATCTAAAAGGAAAGCAAGTATTCAAAGCCTTATTCTTTAATAGTTCTTATTTGTAAAACCTTGACAGGGCTTTATTCTAAATTGCTGCCAAATTACATAAAGAAAGCTGAGAAATATGATGGGTAGTGAGTCGTGATAGTTTCAGTTATCGAATAAATAAGCAGAACAGTTGAAGGGGGCTAATCTGAAAGCAAACAGTGTGCTGGGCGAGGATGAGGCAAGAAGCACAGAAGTGTGTTATTCTTAAATTACCATCTGGCTCAACCCTCTTGAAGTGGGCAAGTTGAACAGCCTTTTATTCAGCACCCTACAACTTATTCAAAAGGAACAGTATTTGAATATTAATATTTTCATATAGTATGAAAAAACCAAACCAACCCTTTTTTCCAGTAGCCCAAAAGGACGCTTAACAGAATAATGGGTAATCCTCTGGCTCAACACGAAGGCCAGGGGCAACCTGTGGGTGGTAGGTCTCAGGCAGGGCCAGCTGTCAAGCCGCTACCTCCGTGGCTCTGTGGGTAGAGGAACTTATCCGAGTCATTATTATGGTCTGAAATTTAGGCAAGATGTGTAAAAATAAGGAATTCATTAGGGACAATGAAGATGGGGACTCCTTGTGCCCTATTTCATCAAAAAGGTGATAACGTAGAATTGCCATATGGGATAGAAATGATCATTCAGAGCTCAAGGTGTGCTTGGGTGAAACGGGAACTTAGTTCATCACTTTCTAACAGACCCAACAACTGCTGATGTGTCGACTAAACCCTGGATTTTTAAATGAAAATAGAAGAGGCTTTTGTTTTGTTTTCCTGAGGTGTGCTTGAAAGTAGAAGTTGAATGGCTAGGAACCTGTGACTTGTCTTTAGCAAAGATCCTTTTTTTTTTAAAAAAAAAAAAAAAAAAGGTATTTGAGCAGTCTCTGTGGTTTAGGAGACAAAACCCAGTCCTGCGGCTTTGTGTGGTGGGGCTCTTACAGACTGCAGTGCCTTCTGTCTGCTTTGGGGTGTGGCATCTGCCACTGGGGAGGAGAAACTGGCATGTGTCTCCTTTTCCAGCAGACTGATTTCATTGTGCTGGGGCCTTTAGTTCAGTGCCTCTTGGTTCCAATCTTCTAGTTGACTTGCTGAAGCCAATGGAATTAAAAGGGAGTTGTGACTTATATACCTAATTTGATTTTGAGTTTCATGATTTTTCTATGTGAAAAGATTTTTTAAGGAAAGACCAGAGCTAAACTTGGAGACTCATTTTCGCATTTAGGATTAGTTGTGAGATGAAGTCACAGAATGACGGCACTCGTATGCATGGACTTTGAAATATTTTATGAATTTGGAAACATGTACTTTTATGATTATATATTTGACTATACATGTCTAAAAGCATAAATAGCTGATTTTAGAATATATGTATATACACTTACACAAAACAGGCGTATATTTATATTTGCATACGAAAGACTTAAATAATTCAATTTATGTGATATAATGTGTAGAATTAGTATGTATTGGAATAAAGGGAGAAAATCCAGGAGAAAATGTCCAAAAGGCACACTAACAAAGATATAGTATTCTCTTGGCAGAAAGTGATGAATGATTTGGCATGAATTCATCTCACAGTTCTGTTATTCTCTTACAGAGGATGTTCTAACCTCTGTCTTCCAGCTGTTTGCATAAAACTGCAATTTGTTGTTTCTATTTGTGCTGACCCCTGGGCCTGCACCTGGCTCCCCCCCACCCACACCCCCCAGTAAGTCACCAGTTTTCCTATCTATCCTTTTCTGTTTAGACATGTAACATTTTTACATTTGGTCAAGCAAACAAAATAATTTGCTTTTGTTATAACTTGTTGAAAGTTCTGTGTCAAATGCTTTCTCTCCATGCAAAGTGAGTCCTCCCTGGTACACTAAGCCTCCCAGAGGTTAAGAAGTCCTTCAGTTAAAAATGCTCAACGGGTGACTAGGTGATGAATTAGCAGTAAGAGAAATATTTAAAATATGGTAAAGTGATAAAACAATAGGTGTTTTTTTTTTTCCTCTAAAGAACGAAGTGTGAAACATTTGTGCCATAGGATTAGATTTGGCTGATTTATAGATTATTGATTTTGTTAAATGTAACACCTGTTTCATTTAGTTTTATTTCGTATTGCTTAGAAATGAACCCATATGAAGAGATTTAACTGTGCACGTGAACCTCTGAAGGATGACGAAAGGCCTTTTAGAGGGAGGTGTGAGAACACAGGCGACTAACCTTAGCTGTCGCCTTACGGCACCAAACAGTTAAATTTTCATGTGCGAGTTGCTTGGAGCATAACACACCATTCGGCTTCTATCTGAGGACTTTCCTTTAGCGTGGGGACAGGCAAGTGCACTGCAGGAAAAGTGCTCCTTTGGGAATACCGCGTTTTCATTGATAAGCCTACCCACCCAGATAAGGTGCCTTAAACAATAGTTCTGTAAATGTTATCTTCGGGCAGGTGCGGTGAATCACAAGCATTTATTGACTACCTGCCGCGTGCAGGGCACAGGGCTCCTCCGACGCGGCGAACCCGCTTCATCTCTAGCCTGATTTTGCAGTTTGAAGTTGTGGGGACTGCGCGGAGGGCCGAGCTCCAGGCCGAAGGGCCAACGCTCGGCAAAATGACATAACTCCTGGGAGACGCCGGCGGTGGCACGGGTCCCCCTCAACACTGCCTGTCCCCCTCGACTCCTCGTCACCTCCGAGGCCACCGGACAACTTTGTTCCCCGGGTCCTCTCCCTCTTTTGTCTCTCGTCAGACGCGTTTTCCACCCTCGACGTGAACACACGCGAGCGCGCGGCCGGCCGGAGCGAGGCGCGGGGGAAGCGCAGCCCGCGGGCGCCCCACGCCGCCGCCGCCGCGCCCCGGGCGCCTCCGGGCGCTGCGGCCCGAACCCCGGGCCCCGGGCCGGGGGCGGCGGGGGCGCGAGGCTGCGCCGGGGCGGCGGCGCGGGGCCCGGGCCGAGTCCAGTCCGCGTTTTGCGAGTGCGCGCGAGGCCCGAGAAGTGGATAATAGTGGCCCGGCTCGCCCGGCTCCCGCCCGGCTGGGCCCTAGAGGCGCCGGCAGAGGGTCTTCCCCGGATCCGGGTCCGAGCGGGAAGGAGCCAAAGTTTCCTCGGCCCCCGCGCCGCAAACTTCCCGCGCGCGCTCTGCGGCCGCCGCGCGCCGGGGCCGGCGGCGAGCAGGGGCCGCGGCCCGTCGGGGCGCCTGGATGCGCCCGGGAGGGGCGGCCGACTAGAAAGTGGGGCCGCGCGGCGCCCCCCGCCCCCCGCCCGGCCGGCCACGCCGCGGCGATCATGGCCGCGCGGGCAGCAGCGGCGGCGCGGGCGGGCAGCGGCGAGCGGCGGGCGCCCCCCGGCCCGCGGCCGGCGCCCGGGGCCCGGGACCTGGAGGCGGGCGCGCGCGGCGCGGCGGCGGCGGCGGCCCCGGGACCCCGGCCGGGGGGCGGCGGCGACGGCGGCCCGCACCCCGCGCCCCCCCGCCCCCGGCGCCCCAGCCGCGAGCCGAGCATGGCCCACAGCGCGAGCGCCGCGGCCGCCGCCGCCGGCACCCCCGGCGCCCCGAGCGGCGGCTCCGAGGCGGCCCTCGAGGAGGGTGCAAGCGCCGCCGCGCTGTCCTCCTCCGCCTCCGCCTCCTCCTCCTCCGCGGCGGCGGCGGCGGCGGCGCCCTCTTCCTCCGCGGCGGGCCCGGGCTCGGCCATGGAGACGGGGCTGCTCCCCGGCCACAAGCTGAAAGCCGCTGGCGAGGCCCCCGCCGCGCCGCCCCAGCAGCAGCAGCAGCAGCAGCAGCAGCAGCAGCAGCAGCAGCAGCAGCAGCAGCAGCAGCTCCACCATGCCCACCACCTCCACCACCACCACCACCACCACCACCACCATGCCCACCACCTCCACCGCCAGCACGCGCTGCAGCAGCAGCTAAGCCAGTTCCAGCAGCAGCAGCAGCAGCAGCAGCAGCAGCAACATCCCGTCTCCGGCGGCGGCAGCCTGGGCGGCGCGGGCGGCGGCGCCGCGCAGCCGGGTCCCGACATGGAGCCGCCGCAACATGGAGGCGCCAAGGACGGCGGCGCGGGCGGCGCGGCCGCCGACCCCCGGGCCCGCCGCTGCTGAGCCCGGCGCGCGAGGAGGACGCCGCGCCGCCCAAGATGGGGGAGCCGGCGGGCGGCCGCTTCGAGCACCCGGGCCTGGGCGCCCTGGGCGCGCCGCCGCCGCCCGCGTCCGTGTCCGCGCCCGTGTCCGCGCCCGCGCCCGGGGGCGGCGGCGGCCCGGCGGCCGTCGCGGAGTTTAATAATTACTACGGCGGCGCGGCCCCGGCCGGCGGCGGCCCCAGCGGCCGCGCCGGGCCTTGCTTTGATCAACATGGCGGACAACAAAGCCCCGGGATGGGGGTGATGCACTCCGCCGCGGCCGCCGCCGGGGCCCCCGGCAGCATGGACCCCCTGCAGAACTCCCACGAGGGGTACCCCGGCGGCCAGTACAACCACTACCCGGGCTACGGCCGGCCCGGCGCGGGCGGCGGCGGCGGCGGCGGCGGCGGCGGCGGCGGAGGCGGCGGCAGCGGAGGAGGAGGAGGAGGAGGAGGAGGAGGAGGAGGAGGAGGAGCAGGCGCGGGAGCTGTGGCGGCGGCGGCCGCGGCAGCAGCAGGAGGCGGCGGCGGCGGCGGCGGCGGCTATGGGGGCTCGTCCGCGGGGTACGGGGCGCTGAGCTCCCCCCGGCAGCAGGGCGGCGGCATGATGATGGGCCCCGGGGGCGGCGGGGCCGCCAGCCTCAGCAAGGCGAGCGGCGGCGCGGCCGCGGGGGGCTTCCAGCGCTTCGCCGGGCAGAACCAGCACCCGTCGGGGGCCACGCCGACCCTGAACCAGCTGCTCACGGCGCCCAGCCCCATGATGCGCGGCTACGGCGGCGGCTACCCCGACTACAGCGGCCCGGGCGCGCCGCCGCCGGCGCAGCCCCAGCCCCAGCCCCCGGCGGCGGGCGCGGCGGCGGGCGGCCCGGCGGCGGCCGCGGGCTTGGGCTTGGGCAAGGACCTGGGCGCCCCGTACGCCGCGGCCGGCCCGGCCTGGGCGGCCGCGCAACAAAGGAGCCACCCGGCGATGAGCCCCGGCACCCCCGGCCCGGCGCTGGGCCGCTCGCAGGTAACCCCGCGCCCGGGCCTGCTTCCGCCGGCGGCCTGCGCGCGCCCCACTTTCTTTCTTTCCGCGTACTTTTGCCGCGTCTCGGCGGGGGGAGCGGGCGGCGGCCCCCGCCCCGCGGCGCCCCGCGCCCCCCGCGGCCGAGCGCGCGGCCGGGCCGGGCCGGGAGGGGGTCGCCGCGGGCCTCGGGCCGCCGCGGGCCGCGCGCTCGGACGCGGGGCTGGGCGGACCCGCGGGCGGCGGGGCTGGGGCGGGCGCGGGGCTTTTGTGGGGGCGCCGGCGCCCCGGGCCGGGCGGAGGGGACGCGGGGCCCCCGGCCGCGGCGGGCGCCGGCGACGAGCCCAAGTGCGGGCAGAGCCGGGAACTTTGTCCCCCCGCCGCGCCCCGCGCCCGCGCCCGCACGGCGCGGCCGCGGCCAGGCTCGCTTTGTGCCGCCCGAGCCGCGGCCCGCGCCGGCCCCGGCCCCGGCGGGCTCGGCGGGCGAGCGGGAGGGACGCCGGGCCCGCCGCCGCGCCGGGGAGGCCGAGCGCGCGGAAACGCGGCGGCCGGCGGGGACGCCCCCCGGGGCTCGGGCGGCTCGGGCAGGAGTCACCTTCAGCAGGGCGGCCGCGGCGGGCGGGCACGTCCCGGCTCCCTGGAACTTATTTTGCTCAGAGTTTAGGCTTAGATGTTATTCAGCGAATCCGGGAAGACAGCAGACCGCTGAAATGGATCTTTGGGGACGGGATTTATTTGAATTTTCCTTGATTTGCTGCCACCCAGGCCCCACCGCGTTTGTGGGAAGTGTCCTGCACGCTGGCGCGCTCTCGCTCGCAGGCTGAGCCTAAAGACTGACTTGATCTCCTTTGCAAGGTTTGGAATTTGAATTGTGGAGGTAAACTGGCTGTAATAGTCTCCAGACAGCTGCCTCTGAGTTGACATCTAATCTGCCATCTGATTGGCTCCCCTCTCACCATTGGGCATTTAGCACTGCTGATGTAAATAGAAGTGCTGAGCAGTACAGTCACAGAAATTCTTGCCACAAATAATAACTGAGCTCTATTACAAGCAGATGTAAGGTTGAATGTTATTTAAAGCTTAAATTGTGGTGGATCATAGCTGCTAATAAGAGGATTAAATCCATAAAAACCGTTATGCCGAGGTCCAGGATTGGGCGTTTACAAAATTCAGATCTTTGACAATGGTAATGTGGACATGACATCTCATGGACTTTAATTGTAGGGTGAGGATGTGGCAATCGAAAAATAATTAAGCCAAGAATTTTACCGATTTCTGGGTTTGCAAAGCTTTCATAAGAATACTCTTTACAGATTACACTACGTAAAAAATTGGAATTATGACCTCACATCGTGTCGTATAAAATGGAAAGTCATGGTATTAAAAATTTCAAGATTCTGATATGCATTCACATCCTGATGTGGTATTTAATAAGCTTTATAGCAGGATGAAAGCTCTGTTTCTACTCATCTGTGCTTCAACAATTCTGTTTCAAGATGTTTGTGGATGAGGTATTTTAGTTGGAATTGACATATTTAAAAAGCGAAGTGAGGAAACGATATACTAATTTTTGCAGCCACTTAGTTACAAGGGAGAAATGGATATTCTTGTGATATACTGAAAATTATTTTCTGTTTGCTTCTGATTTGGAAAATACAGAGCTGCCTCAAGAATTGTTTCTTTCTTTTTTTTTTTTTTTTTTTCCTTTTCCCCTCTCCAGATTATTTTGTTAGATTAGGTAATATGCGTCTTACTTGAATTGCTTACAGAAGAAATTAGTGAAACTGTATTATATACAAGTTGTGCTGGGTTTGTTTCTTCTGAATAAGTTGTGTTTTTTTTTTTTTTCCTCCCACAGGCATCTTAATGCTATGAAAGTTTAAAAAATTCTAATCCATTTAAAGGGAGTAAAAGTAGTTGAAATAGAGATTTTTACTCAGCACTTTTATTTTAGGAAGGGTTATTTTAATAATAATGTCTCTTAAGAGTACAGGCTTACTAGAGTGAAGGAAGGACTAAATTTAATAGATAATCATGTGAATCCAGGCTGAGGATGTGAGCGTCCACTGCTTTTAAAACGTCAGTAAGTGGAGTTGTACTTTTAATAGTGTATTTTCCTATTCTTGATAGCAGACATGCAATTTCAGTTTTTATTTTTGACTCGCATGAGTAAAAATGTTATAGCGAAATCCTGTGTAAATAAACCCACGTAATTAATTTTAAAAAGATTTGCTTTGTCAGCTGCCTTTTAAAGGAACAGATTAAAATTCACATCTCTGACTAGAAACCAGTGATAATCCAGGCAGATGGAGGTCTGTGTTACTTTAGAGTATTATTTCTTAATGGCACCAATCATTTTAAGCATTTTGTTTTCTTGGAATGAGAGTGAATCCATTATGTCTTCAGTGTGACCCGTGGGAATAGCTTTCTGATTTTTGAGGGGGGAAGAATAATGAAGGGCGTATGACCTAGATCCACAGCTTTCCTGTAGATCCCTTTAACGTATAACGTGTAGAATGTGTCCTTCCTGCGTGCGCGCCCGCGTGCACACACACACACACACACACACACACACTTCTATTTGTAAGTGAAGAATTATTTGTTATGGTGATTATACAAAGAAACTGTCATTTGCTCAAAATACTAAATTATTAGCTAATGCTACAGGTTATTAAATGCTATTAAATCACATGAAAGGATGAATTTTTCTTGTGGCTTTTAACCCGTTTAGTTTCATTTTTGATTTTAGGAAATGGTTTGTTTTGGATGGCAAGTATTTTTTTTTTGTGACTTGGAACAAAACATACACATATATTGTAGGGGAAGCATCTTTTAAAAAAGCGAAAAAAGCCATTTTAAGATAGTTTGTCACTGGAGTTTTGTGAGATTAAGTGCAGATAAAGCAGTCTCAGTAGAAATTCTGAGTTCTCCTAAAACAACCAAGATTTCATAGTGTCCACATTTGTCCCTTAATGCTATTTTACTTTGGTTTTGTGGAATACAATACAATGTTACTAAAAAAAAAAAAAAAAGAAAGCCTATTTACCATGAAAAGAAAAGTGATTAGCTGATTTACAAAGCAGGAAGTTACAGACTGGTGCCTGATTACCTTAACATTTGTATATGTTAGAGCCTCACTTCTCTCCCCAGGGGATTCACATTCCTCCTCCTCCTCCTCCTCCCCCCCCCCCAAGGAAATCTTACTGGATCTGAGATTTTAAATCTGGTAAAGCCATTTTTGTGGCCTAGATGTGTGTATTTGACGAGGTATGGCTGGCAGGCTGGCTGGCTCTGTCCTCAGAAAAGGTGGGGTCAGTGACGGTGGTTCATAGAAAGGGCCTCTCATTTAAAAGAAAACAACACATAGCAAAAATGTCTGCCGTGTTCTGTTTTCCTGGGTTATCTGGGACAAAATTATGCAGTTAATGCATCTGTGTCTTTGATCCATATTTATGGGAAAAGGAACTCATAATTCACGTGTCACTTTCATTTTGCTCTGCGTGTAGATTTGTAAATTTAAAGTCGAAAGTTTGCAAGATCTGTTGTGTTCCTTAAAAAGATTTTCCTGATTTCTGTGTGCTTGCTTTTTTTGACGATTTGTTTTTTTTAACGGCAGCTACTCCTTAAGACAGCTATTACTTAAATTTACCTGTATATTAACACTAAATTGATAAGTATAGTCAAGGGAACAACAGGATCTTACTGTGGGTCTGTCATGAGAGACTTTAATCCATTTTTTTCCCTTTGGTTTTGTTTTTGTCTATATTTAGGAATGAATTTTTGGCAGGGCTTTTTATACTTGTTCCATTTCCCCAGCATCATAATCTACCAGAAGTATTAGCAGTGCCGCGGACATGGAGCTGAGCCAGCACACACTGGTACCTAGTACTCTCTGAATAGGGTGTTCCTTCATTAGCATCCAGAGAGTTACATCTTCACTCCCATAAAAATAGCATTCATTTTGGCTTGAAACTGACTTTAAAAATGTAAGACAGTGTACTGGACAACATTAATATAAACTCATCTGATAGTTTTATTACACACAGACACATTATAAAGAAAACAGGTGTCATGGAATGGGGTTGAGTTTTCAGTTCTATTTTTTATTAATGGGCTTTATTATGATTTGGGGCAGGTATATAAAAAAAGACTTATGTAATCGGAATTTACTAATCCTCTAGGATAAATACCAATGTGATAGGCAGACCGAAAATGTGATCATTTCTTAATTTAACCCTGTCCTTTCCGAGGAAGACTGGTTTAATTTTAAAATTTCTCGGGGATCTGTGAAATTTGGTATTTATTTTGAAGACTGATTTGGAGCTGTAAATTTTGGATGTAATTGCATAGGAAACTACTAAGGTTTTGCTCAGTGTCCCAAATCTGAACTAGACTGACACTGCTCCGTTAATAGGTCTGTGTCCTTTGATCCATATTTGTGGAAAAGGCACTCATTTCACTTGTCACTTTCATTTTGCTCTGTGTGTAGATTTATAAATTTGAAGTGGATAGTTTGAAAGATATGTTGTTACTTAAAACAGCAGATTTTTGGAGACTCAAATGAATATTAATAAATACAGATTCCATTAAAAATTTTTTTTTGTGATATTTAGATTTTCAAAATGGGTATCAGGGAGGGGTGACATCCACCTCTAGGCCTTTTTGGAACTGGGTAATTTTCAGAGGTGTCCTTCCTTCATCAGATTTGCACAGCTTCTCTGTGGATATGTAAAGCAGCACCGCGTGCTCGTGTGTATGCATGCTTGCGGCTGAGGAATCCCAAGTCCTGGTTCCCTGGGGTGGCAGAAGTTCCAGGCAAAACTGCTCATCCACCGAGAATATATTTATGTGTCATGAATGTAGAGCTGTTATACAATATTGCTTTTTCTAGTTTGGAGGCTATTTATACAAGACTAAGTGGCCCTTTTTGGTTTAATTAGGTGATTGAGTGAATTAATTTTGATCTAAAAACTTGCTATATTTAGTGACTTTTTCTCTTAGAAATT